AGGTAATGGCTACCACAGCTATGAGAGCAAGCCTCAGTATTAGCATTGAATTAAGTGTTCAGACAGACTGAAACTGCGGCCAGTAAACATTGTCTATGCGGCTTAGTAGACTCTGAATGAGGGCAGAGGACAAAGCCAGATTACCTCAAAATGTCGCCTGGCCCCAGAATTCTTAGCAGATGCTGATTCCCTCCTTGGGATCCATGTGTGAGAATGTCTACTCTGATGAGAGATGTCTCCTTCTCTTCTGATTTTTGTATAACTCCCCTCTAAACGGAATTGAACTAGACACACAGAGAGACCCTGGGACCTGACCTAAAACCTGCCTGATTCCCCTGGAAAAGCGAACCTCTCACTTTCAGATATTAGTTGGCCTCTCTGGCCCAGATGTTGCTTCTGTTTGTTGAGAAATCTTGGAGATATTTATGTCCAGGCAGACTGATTCCCTAGAGGTGAACATTTCTTCATCTATGGTCACGAGAGGCCATGGGAAGCTTTCTGTCAATGGAACTGCCTTAGAGGTAGGTAATCCTCTCCTCTGACATGTTCAGAACGGGACCACTGTCCTGGGTTGTGAATGGGACCATTTCCCATAAAGCTGAGATGAAGCCCACAGAAGACCCACAGCTGGGGATTTTCTGAGAGAAGCCAGCCAGCTATTGGCATCATTCATTCCCAGAGCTCAGCCTCTGTGTGTGGTCCTTCAGTGGTTTGAAGCAGTTACTTGGCAGTCACCATTGAAACCACAGGTTCTGGGAGTGGAGAGGACAGGGAACTAAGGAGAGTGATAGCACTGTTGGTGTGGCTGGGCAGTGGTGGCGCACACCTTTAATCCCAGCACTCAGGAGGCAGAGGCAGGCAGATCTCTGTGAGTTCGAAGCCAGCCTGGTCTACACAGAGAGTTCCAGGACAGTCAGGGCTGTTGTACAGAGAAACTGTCTTGAAAAACAACAACAACAACAAAACCAAAAAAACAAAACCCAAAAAAATTAGAGTGTGTCTGGGATGCCACCCTCCTCATCAACAGTTCTCTCCTGAGGATGCCCATCTTGTTCTCCACCAGGCCAGATCAGGTGACTCTGAAGTGAAAATTATCTCTTTTAAACTGAATCCCTTGTATCTCTGCCATTTTGCAGTATTTTGGGCCACGTTTGCTGAATTTTGCTTGGCAGCTGAACGACTACCTAATGAAGTCCTAAGCTTACTTTCTTCTCTGAAGCAATTCTCCCCATTTCTGTCAACTACTCTGTGGTGAGTATGTCCTCCAGATGCAGAATACTCTTCCCTTGAACACACCAGTTTCTAAAAGGCCTACAATGTAGGGCCAAGAGTACTATCCTTCGGTCTGCTTTGTGGGATGATACAATCATTCTACAATGATATCTATAATCTTTTATATAAAGAATTAAGACATGTACGGGTCTTGGAACGGATTCACCACTGAGACGGCAGACTGTGAACTTGGATGCTGAGAGTGATATCTAACCAGCAGCTCCCTGAGTGCTTCCTACATAATGGCTGACACACCTTGATTTTCCATTCACATAGTGACATCCTACCAGAGACTTCAAATCTTCCCAGCTTTGATGGCAAATCTGAGAAAATGAGCATTATGTCCATGTTCTCAACAAAAATATTTTCTGGCATCCTCCTAATGTAGACCTAACTGCTGGTTTGAGCGTGGCTTGCTTGTGTTATAGCCTCTTCTGGCTGCTCCAGATAGGAATATCCCTTGCCCCAAGAACTTTCCATTCTCTTCTGAGTTAACACAGCTTTCGGCTGTAGCAAGGAATTAGCAGATACAGAACAGAGCCTGGCCCCGGAGGCTTATAAAAGAAAGAAAAGAGACACTGAAGACTGAAATCACTTCCTAGCATTTCCTTTCATCCTTTCTGAGCAGTTTGCTTTGCTGACGCCACCCGTGCTTCCTTGGAGACCCCCAGTGGGACTCACTGAGGCCTCGTGCTCTTCGGCAGTGACTGAGCACTGGATGTGGTACCAAAAAATCCACTTAACAGTTGTCTGACAGACCCTACCCAGCAACATACAGGCCAAGACGGCATAGCACAGGGTCAGAGCCACCAGGGGCTAAGATAGCAGAAGTGATAATTTATTAGCACTTTGTAGGAGAGGAATGGACTAAAATGTTACTACTCTAAGGTTCAAAATGCAGCAGTGAACTAGTGACAGGGTCAGATTTGGAATCTGTCTTTTTTTTTTTAAACTTTGGATTCTAAACTATCTAAACCACATATATAAAACAATACATAACTATCTTACAGATGTGTATCTGGATTTATATTTATAGACCTGAGTGCTTGTGCTTTACACTTGGAGAAGGCTTTATTTCACTTGTGTCCTCTAATTTGATTCTCACTCTCTCTTTTCTGACAGATAAAGAAACTGAGGCTTAATCCCACAGATAACATCAGCCTCTACATCAGATGCAAGTCTTCTGGCCTGGTTTGATCTCAGCAGTTTACCAAGTCCTTCCTCAGGATCCCTGTGGGATGGAATTCACTTTGTCCTGTCCTTGCCTCATAGTCTTAACAAGACTGCAACACAGCACTTTATGAGTCTGCTGACAAGGTGAAGTACAGGGTGGCAAAGTCTATCATAACCAGTTGCTTCAGGTAACCTAAGAACAGGTGTATTGGGACAAGGCTTTGGAGGTAGGGGCACAGTGCTGGGACAAAGAGGGTAGAGAACTATGTCCTTGGTTGCTAGGGAAACAGGCTCATTCAAAGATGCTGTCTTCTTCGCATCATCCCCTCTGGCCACATAGTGCTGTGGGATGTTCTGTATGGTAAATGTGTTGCTCTGATTGGTCAATAAATAAAACACTGATTGGCCAGTGGCTAGGCAGGAAGTATAGGCGGGACAAGGAGGAGAATAAAGCTGGGAAGTGGAAGGCTGAGTCAGAGACACTGCCAGCCGCCACGATGACAAATAGCATGTGAAGATGCCGGTAAGCCACGAGCCACGTGGCAAGGTATAGATTTATAGAAATGGATTAATTTAAACTGTAAGAACAGTTGGCAAGAAGCCTGGTACAGCCATACAGTTTGTAAGCAATATAAGTCTCTGTGTTTACTTAGTTGGGTCTGAGCGGCTGTGGGACTGGCAGGTGAGAGAGATTTGTCCTGACTGTGGGCCAGGCAGGAAAACTCTAGCTACAACGTAGTTTGACTTTTATGCTGTTCTCAGTGTGCCTCTTTATAAAACCATAATCCTTAAACACACAAGTAAGTGTGAAAAAGATCATTCTTAAAACCAACGGTGATTTCTCCTCTTCTACAACAGTCTAGAGTTTTGAGCTCAGGATACGGAAGACAATGGGTACTTATTCAGGCCTGTGATGTGCTGGGGACCTGACATGGAATATCTCATTTGCTATGTTCCACTTGAGAGGAAACTGAGGCTCATAGAGGTTATATAACATAACTTGTCTCATGCAGCATAAGGACTGACATCTTGGCCTACTGAATTTTATATAAAGCATTACACTATGTGTATAGCGTCTTCTTGACAGTGGCCAGGCTCAGCTCCCAAGCTCTTTGGTTTCAGGGACTCTACGCTGTCACAATCAATCACTGCTGATTTGCCAGAAATAGCTTTGCAGGTCATTACTGAACACTAGCAGGAGGCTTACCTGCACTCATGGTCCTAAGAAAATCAGAAGTAGGATGAGAAGTCAGCAAATACAGAGCAACACTTGTGTTCTATGTTCAGGACTTGAGACTGAGACTAGCAGATTCAGGATTTACCTAGGTCAGACAACCGTTTTGTGGCAAATCTCAGACCAGCCCTGGGTGTCGTGCTGAGAATGAAGGATGAGAATTTAGCCTGCCAGTCATGAAACACATGGTTATAGATAGAATGATAAAACTCTCAAGAGTCCTGCTGATACAGGCAGGATTCAAAGAAAGAAAAGTAAAAGCTATATACACGCAGTGGACAAAAAGAACTAGTATGTGAAAACCCAGATCTGGGGTGGGCTAAAAGGACTCAGTAAATGACTTCCCAGACTGTTTTGTTCCCACTGCACATACAGTTGGAAGCCAAATGCAAGCCACCAAGGTTGCAATGAAGCACTGAACGATTATAGCACACATATTTGTGGGCAGCTGTGGGAGTGCAAGCCACCTGCTCCAAGTTTACAGCTTTGTTAAACTTGGTAAACATTAAAAATGCAATGGGAACGCCCCTGATCTGCACAGCATCCCATGCCCGTTCTAAGGGGCCTTGTTCGGGGAGCCGGGGTGATTTTGCCCTTGACCAGGCCCTTTTCAGTGTGGTTCAGCATTGCCCAGGTTGGTGTATTAGTGTTGCCAAACACTCTCCAGGAGAGACTGAGGGAGGTGGTTTGAAGGGTCACAGGGATCTGGAAAACAATTTCCCTCTTATTGTCCAGACAGATAAAACATATCCAGCAATGCTGTGTCAAAGCTATATAGTTAAGGGCCAAAATGACTCCATCTCTGAACTTTGGGGCTTTCTCCTAGTGCTTCTTCTTCTTAAGTCCCACGGGTTTGCAGCTAATGATAAAGGAGGAGCCATAACATTCTAGAATGTTACAGCTGAAAGAGACAAAGATTTCAACTATAAGGCTTTTGATGGTCACACAACAAAGGCACTATTGGCATTTAGTGGACAGGTAGGGGCCAAGGATGCTAAATAGCTTGTCATGTGATCATATGGCATCATGAAGAACTGACTTGCTCAAATACCAAGAGTACCCTTGTTGAGAAATATTTTGTCTCCTGTTTGACTTTGCAGTTGAATGTAAAGTAAACATGGAGATAGACAGGGACCAGAGCAGAGATTTCCCCCAAATGGATCTGAAATCCGCCTATTCCAGACTACTTATCCTCCTCTATCTCCTTCAGCCCCAGTGAAGGATTGCAACCTGTTGCCTTCAGTAAAAAGGGTGACTCCAGCTCCCTTTTCACTCAGCTCCTGCTTACATGGTCCTAAGCTGTTTCTAGCTTGGCACTTACTTGGACTTTAGGCCTTCCTGCCCGTAGGGCTGCAGCAGATACTGGTGCACGAGCTTGTCCCTGAGAGTCCCAGCCAGTTTGATTTTCTTTCTTGATCGATGTAGGTTGATGATGAAAAGTGTAATAGAGCCGCGGACATAGTTGTGGCTGAGTTCAAGAGAGAGGGAGGGAGGGAGAGAGGAGAGGGGGAGGATGAGACAAGGTGGCCAGTTAGCTGCTCCTAAAATAGGCTGTATGACACAGGATCACCCCAGATTATTTTATGGAGAGTTCCAATAGACCTTCAAGATGGGAATGCCTGGTTGTTGCTGTTTCCTGAAAAGAAGGTGCTCACCCTTCACCCCATTGTGTTTGTTTAAATTTACTGGAATTACTTTAAAAACACATATGTATATATACATTATGAAAGTAAAATATGATGACTCCCCAAAAAGAAAGAAAATCCAGAAAAACATAAAGAAACAAAGAATAAAAGAAAATGCCCATAGTTATGTAATCTTGAAATCATACAACACTTTGGCAACATTCAGTATTTTTACTTCTTAGTTTGAGAATTATCTCCTAAGTACTTTGACACATGTGACTATACCACTCAGTTTTTATATAATTAGGATCAAATTGTCTACATAGCCCTTTTCAGCTAGCATATATATTACACATGGTCTTGTGTTATTACAGTTTCTTTTACTTATATAGGAACATTGAATTTCTAATCATAGAAATGCAACATAATTTACTCAGCCAATATACCACTTTTGTGGATTCCTGTTGTTTTCATTTTTTGCTATTATAAATTACACCACCAAAGCCTTAATTTTATACAACCTTTTTATGTATAATGATTATTTCTGGTGGTAAAAATCCTAGGAGTTGGAATCACTAAGTCAAGGCAAGTGTGCATTGACAACTCCTCATCAGATTTCCATTTTCTGTGGTGCCCTCCCTGTGAGAAAGAAGAGTTTATTTCCTTGTGCTCTTGTACTCCAAAGTAATTACATGTCTGTTTTGTCCAGTGTGATGTGATTGGACATGTTAAGACCTGTAGACGCCATGTTAAGACATGTAGACGCCATAGGAACTGTTCATGTGATGACATGTTTTGTTCCCTATGCTAGGAGAAGATTGACAGTATCTTCTTGTTTAGTTTTATGTTTGGAACATAATCTCTTGCTATGTAGCCCAGGCTATCATTGAATTGTGATCATCTTGCTTCAGCCTCCCAAGTGCTGGGATTACACACCTACACCCACACCACCACCACCACCATTCCCTGTTTGAAAATGTTGGTCACAAAGGCCATTGACCTGGATGATGAAATGAAGACCTAAAGCAGAGTTACAGCTGAGCCATGGTGGATAAGAACAAGAGGCCAGCCTGGGCTACAGAGAGAGATCCAGGACAGGCACCAAAGCTACACAGAGAAACCCTGTCTTGAAAAAAACATTTTTTTTCTTCCTGGAAGCCATTTAAATTTGGGTGTTCTTAAAAAAGATTGATTTTGGTTCTGGGTCTCAAACTCAGATAACAACCATTGATAGCAAATGGCCTTACTCACCCAGGCATCTGGTCTTGGGTGCTGCTCTATTCTTTTCAAAACATGGCATAACAGCACTTACTCTGATAAATGCACATATTTTGATAATACTGATGTTATTTAGACAGTTTGTAAAGATTTGCTTCTACAAGATCTATATTAAGAGCACCCATTTCATCATACCCTCAAGATTACTGGATATAACTCTTAAAATATCTTTGCCAACCTGAGAGAAGAAAATGGGAGTGTGATGTTGTATTTTTGTTCATATTGAAGCACAATATTCTTTTATTTACCCAGTGGCCACTTCCATTTTTCTGTTGTACGATGTCTAGAACTAGCCACCATTTTAGAATCCTTTTAGACAGAGCAGCGTAAGCAGAACCCAGGGAGAACACACGTTGACAAGCAAGGCGAGCCTGTCAGTGTGTACCAGCAAAGCTCTAATGGTTTTCCTTTCAGTAGAAAAAAAGATCTTGTTTCTAAGGGGTCTCTTGGGGCCCCATCTGGAAGGGTTAATGAGAGGAAACAGAAAAAATGACCCAGCTCAGCCTTCAAAAGAGGAGCTCAGACAAACTCTAAGACAATTTTGCCCAGAGGAAAACATTGCTTGCAGACATGAAACCCCTCGATCCCTGGGTCACTTGTCTTTGCTCCTAAAGAGGCCAATTGAGAGTTGAGCAGCCAAGGGCAGGTCAGTAGGATAATGTGGGGGCTTTAAAGCACAGATTTCGGGGTTCTATTCATTTAGGCTCGAGGCCTGGGAATCTGTATTAAAAGCTTGCCAAACTTTTTGGCTGATGAGCTGGGTTTGGGAACTCAGAACAAAACACTAAGGTTATCAGAAGGACTCCCAGAACAGTCCCCTGGCTGTGTATCAGATATTTTTTCCCCTTATATCTATAAGAAGGTACACTGTTGTGTTCAAGACTTTTTGGTCTGATAAGATGTGCAATTATGTTCTGATAAATCATTAAATGGCTCCCCTATGCAGTCCACCTTTCTCCATTCCATTCTAATCCCCTGGACCATGTAAATGAACTTCTGCAGTCAAATGATTCAGAAGAGAACGTCAATTGATTTGAGCAGACTTGTGTGAATAGAGCTCTGAAGATGGATGCTGGCAGCTCGTGTGGCCAGTGACCACCACTGAAGAAGAATATCAGCTCGTTTCTACAGGTGGGATTTCAGCTTAGCTTAGCTAGGTACAAAACATCATTAACTACAGGTACTTTGGGCTTCAGAGTGTGAGCAAAATAGGCATGGGTAGGTAGTGATTTAGCCAGACCACAGTAAACCTTTTTGCAAGATACTATAAACAATAGTTTTAAAGGCCAACCGTGGAGGAGGAGAAAAGCACGTGCTCACATTTATGAGTTTCTCCTTGGCAGGCTGGGGTAGAATGTGCCCTTGGAGACTACAGGATGAAGGGTGGGATGTGAGGAACTGGTGGCTTGGAGGGAGACCTGAAATCACAGCATTGCTGTAGGGAAAGCTGTCTTTCCAAGCTGCTTGGCAAGGGTTTGATTTCTATGTACATAGTTCTCCTGGGAGAAATAAACCAGCCCAGCCCAGGGACCCGATTGAACAGGTTCTCATAGAACTCATGAACCTTCCTTAGGTAAGAACTGGTAATGAAGACTGCCCTAACAATACATCACCCTATTTAGTCGATGGGCAAGGGCATGAAGCAGAGTTCTTTGGACTTCAAAGACACATTCTTGGGTAGGGACTCCCACACCAACCTAGAATACTATGGTGAGAAGTCAGACTCCTGCATATTCTCTGTTCACAAGAAACCAATCCTGAAGGAGTATGACTTCTGTTAGAAAAAGGTGTCTGGAGACTTGATCAGCTTGCCATTTTTAAATGTCTGATGGCTTTTGGTTATCTAAGTGGATGGCCCTTTCTGGAAAGAAGCTGTTTCGGTAGAATATCTATCCTGCTCTGTGCCTCACTTGTGGTGAGACATTTTCACCAGCAGCCAGCCCATGTATCTGGAGTTCATCTTTTCTGGCTGTTCTTTTCCTGCCTGACATCTTCTCTTTGTTGCCATGGGAGGAGGAGGAAGTGAGTCAGAGGAGGGATGTTGGAATGGGAAGATCCTGGATATAAGAGGTGGAAGATGTCAGATGGGAGGTGTGTCTTGAGTTCCAGATAGAAAACAGTCATGTTCTAGAAACATCTCCAGTGAAGCGGGGCGTCTGGGAAAAGGAAGGGAGGATGATGCCCTTTAGTCATTGATCATTCCCAGCGAAAGTTAATGTGCTTGAAAATTCAGTCAGTCCACTGTCTCCAAATCTAATTCAAAGGTTTGGGGTTTGGTAAAAGTCAGGCCCTGTTTTGCCAAACATTTTTCCCCTTAATTTCAAAGCCCCTGTGTATTTTAAGGGAAATTTAATCCACATGTTTCTGATTCATTTACACTTAACTCATCAAAATATTGTTTTGTAAGAGTCATTTGATGTCCAAGAAGCCTCAGGAACCTTTTTTATGAGTCTTTAAAAAAAACTTCTTCTGAAAAACAGGAAGTCATGTTTTGCCAATAATAAACGAATCTGAACCCCAAAAGGCTCAATTTTGCTTCAACATCCACCAGGTTCCAGTTGGTTCAGAGTGTGGCTGAGGACCTCAGCTCCACCCCAGAAACACACATAGTCTCAGCAGAATGGCCATAAAACAGTGTGGCTGTCAACACTTGATGTGGGCAGTCCTGCCCATGCTCTCTAACTGGTTAACTCCAGAAGAGGACAGAGGCAGTGGCCAGTGTCGGTGTGAGTACCCAAGCTCTCCGAAATCAGTTTGAGGACATCAGGCTCTGCTAGGTCAGAAATAATCCACAATGTGTGAGAGCCATGAGGTGTGTGAGTAGGTGACAGATGACTATGAGGAGATATAACAGGGGCATGAGGCTGAATGATCTCTAAGCGCCCCTTCAAATGAAAAGCTCTGCAACACAAGCACACAGGTGACACCACAGAGCCTTCAGAACTAAGATTATGTAAGTGCAAGCACCAGTAAGCTTCTATTTCTCACCCAGCTCCTGTTTTGATCCAAGATATTTATTTCAGACTCATCAAGGTTGAGTAGTACAAAGCCAAAATGTCCATTATGAGATGATTCTGTAATTTTGTCTTCTTTGGCCACACATAATACTGAGTCAGTCAGTAGTTCTGCTCCTAACTGATGAGGATGCAAGACACAGACAGGACACATGGCTTCGCAGAGAGGGGAGAGGATGTTTCTCTTATCTTTGTGCCTTGCTATCTGGACACCTGACAGTTTTTTGCAAGGAGGAAACCTGCAACCCCAGCTGGCCCAGAGTGTCCATTCTTTGGGCTTCGAGGAATGAAAAAGACCTTAACTTGGTTCTTATCATCATTATTGTAACATGGTTTATGAAAGTCTTCTTTCCTTTAATGAAGAGCAGAAGAGGTTATTTTGGTAGAAGCCTGGTGGAACCCCTTCCTTTTAAGTGGTTCTGATTGACTTCTCATAGAAAGTTGGGGGCAGTTGAGGTGGAGAGGGGTTCAAATCCAGATTATTTTCACTAACTTGCTGGAGGTCTCATGATAGTGAAAGGTAGAATTCTGAACCACTTTATTACACTCCCTCCTCTGGCTGATGTGATATACAGGGCAAGAACTATAACTATAAACCACCAGGAACACATGGTTCTCAGTTTCTGTCTTCTCCCATTCATTCATTTATTCATCAAATAATTACAAGACCTTCTCATGTCCATCACTGTACTAGATACGAAGAATATAAATATGATCATTGGCCTCAAGCTCATGGTACCCTCAGGATATAAGTGAGACCTTCTCATGAGAATATCCAAGAATACCAGTGTGAGCCCTGGGATGGGCCTCCATGGGGAGCCCTCAGTAAGGACATACAAATCCTTCTTAGCCCACATAGGTATTATTGTTTTATTCCTGGATACAGACTACTATTACAAAAGACTGGTGTGTTTTCCAATAGGGACAGAAGGTGCCAAGAGCAATTTTTCTCTCTTGAGGCTGGGGGTCCCCCTTTTGGGTGGTTGCCTCCGGGCCTGTCATAGACAAGGAAGACAATGTTGCCTTGTGTGAGGATCAGATAATTCCAGGCAAGGCCATAAAGCAGTCAGTCACTGTCAGGTATGGGACTGAGCTTCCTGCTGGGCAAAAGGGATGTTGAAAGCTTCTGGCCTGCACCCAAGACAGCCTCCCCTCCCCTACAATAGGCACTTGTATCTACAGGCAAGACAACTGGCCCCTGGCGCCCACCTCTGCTCAGAGTGAGTCTTTGAAAGCATTTTATCATGAGGAACTAAAAGGCTTGGCTTCTGTCTCATCAAGGACAGAGAAGGAGCATATGGTGTAATCTGACCAGGGCAGCTCTCTGTGCTTCCCTCCCCTTGATCAGCCCTGATAGGCCCCGGATGGAAGGTCTGACAGGAGGCAGAAGGCAGGAGGCAGTCCCTCCTCCCAGGTTTGCTCTGGAGTAAGAGAAGGAATTCTCCTTTCCAGGGTAACCTCCTCTGCCTTAAACAGGAAGTGATGGTAAAGACATAGTTGACCAGATAGTCTTCGCTTTTGATCCAGTTTAAAAATTTTCCCTTATGCTCTTCAGGTTTTAAATTTAAACAAAACAAAACCAAACCAAACCCTGCCAAACTTTGCTGATAATTAACTTACCTGTTTTAAAGAGAACTTGGATGATACCCAGTGCCAAAAAGAAAAGGCTCAGCTCCTAGCACCACTGGGTTATTATGCTTGCAGAGCCCCTTTCCCTCAAAAGGAAGTCTCCATTTCACAGCCCTTTAACACTTAAAGTAGCTGAGATTTCTGAACTATGGGAAATGTCCTGGAAGTTAGCATGTTTCCCATTAGGTACTCGTTTAGTTCCCGAGACCTAGTGGGAACTAGTCTAGGCAGGTGCTCTTATATGGCAGACACAGCCATGTATTTTCTTAAGCTCTGTGGTGGGTCAAAGGATCACACTCAGCCTCTTGTCTTGGCTCAGGCTTAGACACATACCAAATGTTTGTGGGCATTGTATCAACTGGCACAGATAGAGTGCCCAATAAAAATCTGTTGCATGAGTAAGAGAATGAACAAACAGATGCATTTCATAAACCCTTCCTGAGTAAATCCTGTATGAGAAGAAGGCTTATTTGACAAAAAAGCTATCAGGCATCCGTTGCAACCTGCAGAGAGAATGGTGACCACAGAGGCAGTTTTCAATTGAGATCCATGAACACAGGTGAACTTTGAACGGCTCCAGGGGCATGGCATTCTAAGAGGGGCTGCAGCCCATTGGGTGGCCGTCCTCTTCCCCTGTTGGTTTGGGAAGACTTACTTGTGGTGGTTTGTGCAGTGAGCATAGATCCTTAGTTTGTCTCGGATGACTCTTCCTGGTTGTGGCTTCCGCTGGAGCCCAGCTACATGCACTGCCAGGACTTTGGGGCCAATCAGACGCTTGTAAAGGAGAGAGAGCCAGTAGTCCTAGGGAGAGTGGAGAGGTGGAGAGTCAAGGAGACAACTCATAGCTAGGTATGCTAAGTAAACAGGACAAAACACAGGGCAGAAACTACTTCCTGCCGGGAGGACAGTATGGTTACCCTCATGGGGAGCTGGCTACCCTGATAATGAAGATAGCACTTGTCAGCACAACCTTTTCACTCACTAAGTGGGCGAGGGTTGGTTAAGTGGAGTGGACTCAGAGCTGTGTATGAATAATGAATCAAGTTTCTCGCAAATGAAGCGAGCAGTTGGGGTGGGGGACTCACATCTCCAACTCTACTTCCTCTGGCTGCACTCTCATGCTGGCTTGTGGTTTCTGTGAAACTACAGAAGGAATGGGAAACTTGTAATCCTTAGGATTGTCATCAATATGAGAACATAAAATATCATTCTCCAAATATTGTCACTGAGGACGAAGCGGGAGGGAGACGAAGGTTCTTCAGCAGGAGCCCAGGCTGAGGTCTCCATTCCAGAGCCAGAAAGACAAACAATAAAGTTTGCACACAACTCTAATTTCTGGTCATTTTCAATATTCTACAATCAAAAGAATGCTCGTAAACTGAAAAGATTGTATAACCAATTAATAAATATACCCATTCTGTAGCCAACCCATGTGTCTGAGGGTACAGAAGTCTGCCTACCATCATCTTAATTTTGATTGTATTTGCTGTTTTACAACAATACAACCAAATACAAGTTGTATTTGTACTTGATGCAATATAAAACTGACATTTGTATTGTACAAACTCTTAATATGGATTGTTGCTTTATGAACTCAGTGTTTATAACTCACCCATGTAAAGCCCCACTATAAATCCTGGAATTCGGGGCATACTCTCTAGTGTTAAAGACATCAAGTGTGTCTTCACTGTGTTCATCTTTCCAGACAGAAGTTTCCTGGGTGTGTGTGTGTGTGTGTGTGTGTGTGTGTGTGTGTGTGTGTGTGTGTGTGTGTGTTTAAACTGTGTGATTATCTATAACATCAGTGGCCTAAAGATGTCTGGTGAATTTTACAAATCAGAATACACTTCTCAAAGAAACTTTGTCAACAGCATAGCCCCACATCTGCTCTGACATCAGGCTTTAAGTTCTGTCCAACTGTTTAACTGAATTATTTTAAATGGCCTTAGGATGGCTATTAAATAAAGTCTCCTAGTACTTAAAATGCAAATATTTGACAACTTTTAATTAGATGGGATAGAAGACGTACGTCATTGCTTTAATTTGTTCTTACTTGATTGTAATTTTTATGTGTTTTATTCATGTCTATTATGTTCCAATAGGATTTCCATTGTTTCCTATCTGACTTATAATATGTTTAAAAATAATAAAAATTTAATAAACTTTAAGTTGGCTACTAATAGCTTGGTATGATATACTCTCTCTTGTTGGAGATGTTTTATTTTATAGATACGAGATGGGCTCAGAAAGCTCAAAGGTACATGTGAGGTCACAAAACTGGTAGCCCACAAAAGAAAATAGGGGTATGTTTCCCTCCAACATACTTTACTCACTCTGAGACATACGAAGGCACACTGTATAAGGAAGCTTACAAGCAAACATTCTGTGGACATAGAATCTGGAAGTGAGCCTTACTGTTAGTGTGGAGAGTGACTAAGATTTAACTTATGACTCTTACATTCTTGGAGCATTTAGAATAAAAGGAAGGCCAGAGCACAACACACCCATTTCTCTGATTCCAACCCAATTTGTTCCTTTTTAAAGATTACTTCATTCCAATGTCTTATCACAAACACTTGGCTTTTTATTTAGAAAATCTGAAAAAGCTAAATAGGTTTGCTCTCAATTTTGCATTTAGGCATGGCTACGGTCTTTGTGTCATGGCAATTTCCAACTAAGGTTAGGCATATCTGTACAAAACAATTAACATTTAGGAACAGTATTAAGTTTAATCTCAAAATTTATGTAAAGACAAACATACTTCAGAAAGATCAGCCTAAGTACTCTTTATCATTATTAAATGATAAATTAATTTAAGTTTAAACTCACACCAAGACTTACTGATGTGAAGCAGTCTTTTGTGTTATGGGGGAGCTAAAGGTCACACCATCTCTAAGACTTTGAAGACACTGGCTGAGGCTTCGAAGGAGTTTATGATGGATGATAAAAGATGATGAAGCTCATTTTCTTTTCTTTTTTTTTTTTGGTTTTTCGAGACAGGGTTTCTCCGTGTAGCTTTGCGCCTTTCCTGGAACTCACTCGGTAGCCCAGGCTGGCCTTGAACTCACAGAGATCCGCCTGGCTCTGCCTCCCAAGTGCTGGGATTAAAGGCGTGTGCCACCACCACCCGGCGAAGCTCATTTTCTTATTGTGGCATCCACATAAAAACGTGCATCTCAACCAGTTAGAAATGCACAGCTCAGCAGTTAAATACATTCATAATGTTATATAACCAATGCCACTATCTGTCTCCACATGCTTTCCATGCCATAAAACCGAAACCTGGACCCATCAACTTTACCCTTCCCCTCAGTCTCCTGTGATCACTATTGTGCTGTCTCTGCATCTCATAAAAGTATTTTCCTTTGGATGACTGGCTTATTTTATTAGCATAATACTCACAAGGCTCATGCATGTTGTACATATTGGAATTTCTATTTGTTCTAAGGTTTAATAATGTTCCATCCTATGTATATATCATCTTTGATTTAATTTGTGGACTCACATGTGGTCTATCTTGAAAAATGTCCCAGGTGTAATGAGAATAATGTGTCTGCTGCTGTTGGGTAGAATTCTATTTGAACTGGTTGATTTATTGTGGTTTTGGGCCTTCTCTTTGGAAGCCTTCTCCATCACTGAGTCTTCTGCTGTAACCGTTGACTTGTCTGTTTCTCCTCATACTTCTATGGTATATTGTCAAGTGTTTGGTATAATAGTTAAAATCTTGATGTATTGAAATTTTTTATTTCCTTTGTACCTTGTATGCTTTTTATAATGTAAGGTCAATTTTATCTGTTATTAGTATTGCCACCTCTACTATGCTTGGTTATATCTTTTTACAGCCTTTCAATCTGTTCGTACCTTTATATCTAAAGTGATTCTCTTATAGACAGCATACAATTAGACTGCATGCTTATTTTATTAAATCCTTTTTGTCAACTTATTTTTTTTAACTGCAGAGTTTAATTTACTTATATACAAAACAATTATTGATAGGAGTGGACATACTTCTGTCATTTTGCTGTTTGTTTTCTATCTATCTTATAGCTTTTTGCCCCTAATTTCTTGCATTACTAGTTTCCTTTGTGTTTGGCTAGTTTTTTCTTTCATAGTAAAAGGAATTTAAATTCCTTTCTTACTGTCTTTTATAATACCACTGGGATTACATTTAATATCCTAATGAAACACTAATTTGTACTTATACTAGCTTAACTTTAACAACATATAAAAATTCTATTCTTTTACTTATCAGACCTCATCTCAGTAGCAAATGTCACAAAATTACATTTTTTATATGCCATATGCCTAAGACATACCAATGAGTTTTTTTTAAACACACAAGTATCTTCAATTATTTAACAAAATTTAGGTTAACAATCGAAATTATAATAATGCATATTTTAATCAGTATTAAAATATATTAATCTCTTAAATCATATAAAAACAAAAAGCAGAGTTACAAATTGTTGTTACAATAATTTTTATCTCTGCTTAGCATGAATTCATTCCTACAACTTCCATTTCTTGTCTGATATGCTTTCAGTCCAAGCTGTATGACTCCTTTGAGCATGTCTTATGGGATAGACTTATTGACAAAAATGCCCTCAGGTTTTCATTTACCTGGAAATGTCATAATTTTCTTTCACTTTTGAAAGAAAGTTTTCATGAATATGGGGTTCTTCACTGAGGGGATTCCTTTTTCTTTTCGTGCTCTGAATACATTATCCCACTAACTTCTGGACTTCTGATGAGAAGTCTGCTGGTAATCATGCTGAGCAATGTCTACCATATAACGACTTGTTTCCCTCAATTGCTTTCAATATTCTTATATGGCTTTCAAAAGTTTGATTAGCATATAAGTTCCTTTTTTTTTCGACTTAATATATGTTCTTGAAGTTTTGTATTCATGTCTTTCATCAAATTTAGGCAGTTTATAGCCATTATTTTATTGAATATTTTCTTAGCTCCTTTCTCTCTCTCTTCTTCTTCTGGAACTCTCACAATGAGTAGTATTTGGTTTCTATTAATCTTCAATCTGATTTTCTTTATGCTCCTCTCCATTGGTTATTTCCAACATCAGATCTTTAGGCTGCCTGATTTCATTTGCTTACTCAAATCTGCCTTTGAACCTCCCCACCTAATGTATCATTTCAATTATTGTGCTTTTTAGCTCCAGAATTTCTTCCTGCTCTCCTTTTAGTCTTGCTATTTATTGATACTTCTATTTTGTTCACCTATCTGGTTCTTGACTTTCTCAAGATCATCTTCTAGGAGCTTTAAGACAGAACTTTTAGTAGAACTGCCATCAGGTTGTCTTCAGGGACAGTTTATTTTTTAAATACATCATACTTCACTGCTTCTTTTACGCCTTGTGATTTTTGTTTCAAACTTGGCATTTGAATCCAACAATGTGGCAACTTCTAGAAATTACATTTTCTCCTTCTCATTACACTTTGCTAGTGTTTTTTTTTTTTTCCCCCGCCCCGAGACAGGGTTTCTCTGTGTAGCTTTGTGCCTTTTCCTGGAACTCACTTGGTAGCCCAGGCTGGTTTCGAACTCACAGAGATCCGCCTGGCTCTGCCTCCTGAGTGCTGGGATTAAGCTAGTGTTTGTTATTTAGGTTGTTTTAGGCTGTGTCTGTGCCAAGGACCATTGTATATGTAAACTTGTGGTTTTTGTCAGCACCCCCTGCCTCCCCCACCACCCCACACTCAGCCTTTCCCTGGTCATGTGTTGTATCTTGTTACTTTTAAATGTTTATGTCTTTACTATGTAGCTCCCAAAAATGGAAAAAGAAGATG